CATTTTCTGAAATTTTGTTGTGAAAGCGTATAAATAGTAAATTATACATTGACCCATAAAACCACTACTGGACTCAGTGGATTTTAGTAACTGGTATTACAAGCTTATGTTTGTTCCTAGTGTTTAAAGTATAAACATCTTTATTTTTATGAAAGCTATTTAAAATACTTTTTGTACATTTTCCTTTAATAAAATGTTTCAACTTGTTAATTGACAAATTTTGTACATTTTCTGCAATTTTGTTGTAAAAGCGTATAATACATTGCGACTTTTTATTCAAACTTAATTTAATAAGTTTTTGACCTGATTAAATACGCAGATAGGCGATGTAAGTCGCTTGGGATCGTATTTTGTGGCAATCTATAGATAAGGCCTAGTATGGGTAGAAGTGATGATAGTGATAGTTCGGATATACATTAGAAGGAATGTAATATTGAAGCCCGATATACATAACATCTGATGATATGTGAACCGCAATTATGTAGGTAGCTCATTATACTGCCTTTTCTTGTGGGAAGTGTATAGTATGGCCGGTGGGAGTATTATGTAGGTTGGGATACCAGTAAAAATATTATTTTTCCCTGGAAGGTTAAAACTCGTGTGATTCGGTCCGTCAATTAATGACTAGGTACGTAGTATATACAGTGTGTCCGGTCACGGACTAGCGATATTCTAGGTACTTATAAAACAGCTATTTTAAAACAAAACTACACTGCACACTGAGGTCTAATCCCCTCCCCCTCTATGTGGCAGCCATTTAGTTTTATTCTTGAGATATTCTCTACGTGTTTACAAAAATATTTATATCTCTCAAAGTTTTGATCTTACTGAGATAAAAATTAGCTCATTCGAAGGAAAACAATATTGTCTATCGTTTTCGTTGCCAAAAAAATTGTTGACATACTCGTAACTTTAAAGAAAACAAGTTTTACTTCAAATAAATATCAAAAAAATATGCTAATCGGCAAATTATTGTAAATTACAAAAACAACGCCGTTTACCCTTTTAAATTTTTTACTATATCGACAGATTTTGAGTTAAGCTACAATAAAATATAAAGTTTATAGCTGTGTGTTTATTACTTTAAGAATAATTGTTGTTTGAACATAGCGTGTGCGCAAACACAGAAGGCCTTTGTTTAGTGACAACTGGCACTGCTTAAGTTGCTTATTATAGTTTATATTTAATTGTTTTACAAAATTGACCTACAATTAAAATATCTAAAGAACTTTATTTGTATTCTTGCTCCTTATTTAACAAGGCATACATTTTGAAACATGCAATACCAAATAGTACCAATTAGGTATACTGCTGCGGCTCATCCTGCTGCTGCTGGCCTACACGGCCAGCACGATGTCAGCGAGCTATGGAGAGGGCTATGCTCGGAGTTTCTCTGCGTTATAGACAAAAAATGTGGATATCCGCAGTAGAACTAGAGTAACAGACACAGCACGACTGATTTGTAAGCCAAAGTGGGAATGGGCCGGCCATATATCGGTAGGTGAAATGTGGGGCAGCCGCCCCCATTAGGTAGAGTGACGACCTGGTAGGAGAAGCAGGAACATAAGGAATTTTACGTTGTAGAGCCACGCTGCAGCTATAGTATAATTGTAGCAGGAATGTGTCGGCGCGGCTGGGGCAGGACCACGTTCTCTCAACATACCAACGTAAAATAGCAGCTTAATGCTACAGTGTTTCATGTGGTGAGTGTAGAGAACCTGAGACCCTTTTATTGAAATTGAGGCAATCTATTTTAGTCCTCAGGGGTGACAACGCATTTGCATTTTGATTCTTAATTGAGAATAAACGTGGAGGTCTATGGGCCACAGCATTCAGTTACCATTAGGTGACTGTGTGCTCGTTCGTCACCCAATGCCAGAAAAAAGAAAAAGGAAGTCGATGGATGCAAGTGCCTTAGGACCGTTCTTTGTGGCATTCCTTGGGGGGTGCCTATGTTCAGCAGTGGACTTGTGAAGGGCGGTAACGAAAATAATGAAGCACTAATTTTTGTTAAAATTGTAATCATTAATTTTTTTCTTATGATCCAGAGGATATGACTGCTCAACGACTACTGATATCAATTGTAAATAAGGAAGACAACTAATAAAACATCTCCACATGCTGTGTTCCTAAAACATAGCATATAGAAGAATTAAAATTGAGACTTAAGAATGTACGGTTTTTACTTGTTATTGAAAAATAATTTTTCCATCCTGTTTAACCCTCGGTTAGTTGCGCTTTTTTGTAACGTCGTTCGTCGCGTGGGGTCTTTGAAAGCCCTTAAAATAAATTGGGTAAAAAATACATAAATTTATGTATTTACCTACATTATTTTATATTTTAGTCTTATTTGATTCAATACTAATCAAACAAAACCAAAAAAACACATAAATATTTATATATTTATTGCTTCAACTTACATACTAGAAATAGGAACTAAAATTTCTCTCTATGAGATCACTAGGTAATTAAAATTAAATAAAAATCAACAGATATTAAAATCTATTATTATAAAAACTTAAGTAATCCAGATCAAAATAAAATTGTCTATCTTTTAAATTAAAATTTGGTACACTTATTTACAAAAACATATAAATTTTGACTTATAGAAAAACTTAATAAATTTTCGGTACGAACACATTCAGTACTACTGTTTTAGTATGTGTTGGGCAAATGTTGCCCTTACAAAAGTGACAAATAGATTTAAATTTCCTGTCTGTTCTTCGAAGTCAGTGAATACATCACTTTCTCATTAGCACGACTTTTACTTCAGGTTGAATACCCTGAAGTGGTGGTACAAATTTTCTTCAACTGTCTATCTCAAATCGTTGAGACAGTTGCCCTCGACTGTAGTTTCTCTCCCTTTTTTTACTATATAAAAGTTATTAGATGAAATTTTTATCAATGGTTCTTCATCCTCATCACTGAACGCAGATTCGAGAGCTTCCACGGATTCGTTCACCAATCCCAAACCCAAGTGCTCTCCGTTCGATATTTCCAAAGATTCGTCATAATTCAAAAATACCTGATGCAAATCATCGTCACATTCTTGTTCCAAATGAATATCACGCTCACTCTCTTTATCAGGCAACATTCCGGTTTTATTTCTTTCATCATCACCACCGAGGATGTCATCGGCATCTTCTTCTAGCCAGCTCAATATGCGTCTTGGCTGCTGCTCATCCATGTTTTTTTATAAAAAGATGATAAAAGTAATCTAAAACAATGAAAATAAACACAATATAATACAATAAAATTAAAGTTCATTCGTTATCAACGAAATTATAATATAAAAAACAAAAAATGGAGTTATATTACGAAAATTGTATAGTCATAGGTTATAAACGCACTGCTGTAGAGTAACTTTTATATATTACAGAAGTTACAGCAGTGGTCCTATAAAAAAATGTGGAAAAATTCCACCCCTAAAGATTGTGAACTAAGAGATGAAGATTTTAATGTAACTATTTAGGCGAAATTTTATTGGCACCTCGAGCACAGAATAAATAATAGTACTACGTAGTACGTACCTTGAGCTTGTGGTAGAGGTGATAGAAACAACACGAAGCTTAATTGCAATTTAAAGTTGAGTAGCGTTTAAGTATTTGGGCGTTAGTATATTTAACCCTCGGGTCGTCGCGAGGGGTCTTTCAGAGCCCGCGCTCACACAAACATGTCCGTACCAAATAGCACTTGCGCGCGAACTGAAGTTAGCCGTGATGCGCGCCAAATATAATTCAATTCAGGAAGGTACCTAAGGAGCAGAGTCACTACGATTATTCTAAATATAGGTTTTTACTGATTTTGTTATACCTGGGCTTTAAAATACCAAGCTCGAGGTAGGTAGTACTTACTTTCCCACTACGTGGAAAGAGGCAACTGTGATTGGTATTCCCAAGCAAGGCAAGCTTCTCAACCTCCCCCTCCAGTCATCGCCCCATTAGCCTCCTCAAGGCAATGGGCAAGCTCTTCGAAAGAGTCATCCAAACTCGTATGAGGCCCTATCTGTTTCCCACAGACGGTGATCCTCTTATCATTCCCCATCAATTCGGTTTCCGAGCGCAACACTCATGTCCCCAACAAGTTCACCGTATTGTGGAATATATCCTCAGCGGTTTTTATCCTCGTCGTCATAAGACCATCGCGGTCTTTTTCGACATAGCTAAAGCCTTCGATAGAGTCTGGCACACAGGCCTTATCTACAAGCTGTACAAAATAGGTCTCCCCGATCGTCTAGTACGTCTCGTGGCCTCTTACTTAAAGCATCGTACCTTTCGTTTTAGACACGAAGGCACGCTATCTTCACAGCGCAATATCAAAGCTGGTGTCCCTCAGGGCTCAGTACTTGCTCCTCTGCTGTACATCCTGTTCACCAACGACATTCCCATCCCGTCGAAAGGTGTTCAGCTCTCCCTCTTCGCAGACGACACTGCTATCTACTGCAAAGGTATCTCACTACCTTTCATACGGAACAAGATTCAAAAGTCAGTTGACGACCTAGGAGCTTGGTTCAAAAAATGGCGCATCGATGTGAACCCGGAGAAGAGCTCCGCCGTTCACTTCGATTATAAACGACGCCGTCTCAAAAACACTCCACCAATACGTATACTAGGGACCCCTGTCCCCTGGCATACGACTGCCAAATATTTGGGTGTCACTCTAGACACAAGGCTTACTTTTAGGCCCCACGTCAAAAAGAGTAACCCGCCACGCACGTTTTTACCTGAGTAGGCTCAACAGTATGTTGGACCGACACAGTAAAATGTCCCTTAGAAACAAGCGTACCCTTTATATGGTCTGTATACGACCAGTCATGTCCTACGCGGGCCCCGTTTTTGCCCACGTCGACCCTAAAATTATTAATGAACTCCAAATAGTTCAAAACCTTTTCTGTTGTCGAGCTGTGAACGCACCTTGGTACGTCGGTAATGCCGACCTTCATCGGGACCTAGAGCTCCCCACAATTCAACAATTTCTCAAAAATCTCTCTGAGAACTTCTTCAAAGCCTCAGAGTCGCACTCAAACCATTTAATTCGTGAGGCAGCTACTTATGCAGCCCCACCCCCCTCTCGCTATCGAGTCCGCAGGCCGAGAAACTCTCTCTCGGACCCGCCTAATAAACTATCAAACGACCTGAACTGCCTCCTGGCGGCTCAGGCCAACTCTAATTAAATTAAATTATCTATTCATAATTAATTTGCCTTCGTAGGCACTCCCTCAGCGGCTCGTAGCCGCCTGCGCCCTCTTTTCCCAAAAGATGGTCGCTCACGATAAGACACAATAAAGCTTAATTAGCCAGCTGCCTGTCCCTAAAGGCGGTTTTTAGAGGGTATCACTTAGGTTCCCCGGTAGGATGTGAGTCCCTCATAACCACGATAGACCGGCTATCGTGGTATGCGTAATGCATTTTCCGCCTCCCTACGTATAGGGTAGCCCTTTAATTGCTTCGGGCGCAAAAAAAATAAAGTACGTAGTACTATTATTTATTCTGTGCTTGAGGTGACAACAAAATTTCGCCTAAATAGTTAGATTAAAAACTTCTTATTTTACAATCCTTAGGGGTGGACTTTTTCCACGTTTTTTATAGGACCACTGGTGTAGAGTAACTTTTATAATACGTCAAACCTTCTTAATTTTTTTGAATTTGGCTAACAAAATGCGTTTTATCTCGGAACATTTCGATAAATACTTCACATCCCGCAATATTTTAACTTTCTTGTATCTTCGTCTCTATTTAAAAAAAACCGGCCGGTGTAGGGTTCCGTAGCTTATGAGTTTAAAGGTGGGTATCCATTATGTTCGCGCTCCAGCAGCGCTCCGCGCTCCTGCAACTGCTCCCGGTAGTGGGTACGTGCGCGAACATGGAGCGTGCAACATTGCACGCTCCGCGGCAGGCGCTCCGACTTTCCATCCAAGTTCAAAATGATTTTCCTAGAAAGTCCTTATAAAGTTCTACTTTTCAGATTTTTTTCATATTTTCTAAACTTATGGTTCAAAAAGTTAGAGGGGGGGAACACATTGTTTTTTACTTTTGGAGCGATTATTTCCGAAATTATTGACATTATCAAAAAATTATCTTAGTAAACCCCTATTCATTTTTAAATACCTTTCCAATAGGGGAGCTAACCTAATAAAACATTTTTTTCCAATTTTTATTTTACCACTTTGTCGGCGTGATTGATACACATATTGGTACCAAATTTCAGCTTTCTAGTGCTAACGGTCACAGAGATTAAGCGAGGACGGACAGACGGACAGACAGACATGGCGAAACTATAAGGGTTCCTAGTTGACTACGGAACCCTAAAAACGATGTATTCTCATTTTGTAATATGTGATAGAGCCTTTCTGCAGTGTTTTACTAAGGTTGCAGTACAGATGGGTCGTCTCGACCGGGGAAGAACCACGTTTGCAGAAAATACCAGCGTGAAACAGCAGCATAATGCTGAGGTATATGTCGTAAGTCCATTACTCCTCCAACGCATCTCAATTTTTTTATTAAAGATCGGTATAGGTGTTAGTGGGCAACAGCATCCACTTATCATCTTACTGTGTGTTCGCTTATCAACCTTACTTCTTAATACATTGGCAAAAATTCGTTAACTTTACCCGTCCATAGTATTTTAAGAATTCGTGTTTTCAATTGAAACAGTATTTCGAAATTACAAATTTGACAAAATATATTTTGCATGGTGCTCGCAAAAATGATGACGATCTTTCGTACATACCTTTTATAACGTTAAATTTAGTCGTCGGCGTAGATGGCCGTGCCTCACGCAGATCACCGGTGAGATTAGTGCGACCACGTTTTAAGTCAATAAACCAGTTGTTGTTGTTGCCAATCTAAGTCTATCATAATTTTATTATTGACTTAAATGACATTAAAAGTCATAAAAAATCGTTGTACGAAAATTTTCTCGCGTTAAATTTGTGCTGACGTGACACAGACAATTTTCAATTTGTCTCCAAATCGTAAACAAATGACAAATTAATAAAATACATACTCAATCATATTGGCAAAGAGTTCCATTTTCAAAATTTGAACTTATTTTTTATTATATCGTTTACAAGTGGCGAGTTCTAAAAACTTTCAGTGTTGCCCTTGTAGCAGCCAGATTAATCAAACCTAAACGGGAATAAATAATATATACTCCGCTGCTACCATAACGCGGAAGGCGAGAATAAATAAAAAAAACATTTTATTTCCTAATTATTCTTGGCTACTGAGATACTGCGGACTGTATATAGATAATTTGACGTTCTTATAAAGAAACAAGAAGCAGCCGCAAATATCATTCAGCGCCACACCGACTTCACACGCCGCTATCGTCACGTATCCGTCGACCAATGGTGAGCCGTTTCTTCAACGCCGCAGTTCGTTTCCTCTTGCTGTTCCGGAGCTGTATTCCACACCGCCGCCGCCCGCCGACTACGCGTGCGCACTTTTTTTTTTTTTTTTTTTTTGCGCCCGAAGCAATTAAAGGGCTACCCTGTACGTAGGGAGGCGGAAAATGCATTACGCATACCACGATAGCCGGTCTATCGTGGTTATGGGGGACTCACTGTCCTACCGGGGACCCTAAGTGATACCCCCTAAAAACCGCCTTTAGGGACAGGCAACCGGCTGATTAAGCTCTATTGTGCCTTATCATGAGCGACCCTCTTTTGGGAAAAGAGGGCGCAGGCGGCTAAGTGCCGCTGAGGGAGTGCCTACGAAGGCAAATTAATGTCAGATATTACAATAATTTTATTTAATTAGAGTTGGCCTGAGCTGCCAGGAGACAGTTCAGGTCGTTTGAAAGTTTATTAGGCGGGTCCGAGAGAGAGTTTCTCGGCCTGCGGACACGATAGCGAGAGGGGGGTGGGGCTGCATAAGAAGCTGCCTCACGAATTAAGTGGTTTGGGTGCGACTCTGAGGCTTTGAAGTAGTTCTCAGAGAGTTTTTTAAGAAATTGCTGAATTGTTGGGAGCTCTAAGTCCCGATGAAGGTCGGCATTGCGGACGTACCACGGTGCGTTCGCAGCTCGACGACAGAATAGGTTCTGAACTATTTGGAGTTCATTTAAAATGTTAGGGTTTGCGTGGGCAAAGACGGGGCCCGCGTAGGACATGACTGGTCGTATACATACCTTATAGAGTGTACGCTTGTTTCGAAGGGACATTTTACTGTGTCGGCCCAACATACT